AAGGCCAAAAGAGAAATGCAACATACTGTACATCCATGTCGTTCCCACCTCTTTGACCTGCTCTGTCCCTGCTAGTGTACACTGCTACACTGGTAATCAAGCTTGTAGCCTGTGCTGTTCATTTATCTGGCTTAGTCTTGGCTGGCAACTGGTGAACAGCCAAAATTGACCCTGAAGTCAGAATCTTAGTCAGGTTTAAAGCCACCTGCTCAAAAATGGGTCTTGATGTTATTATTACTTTGAATGTTTGACCTTTACTGTGCACATTCATGAACTGTTTGACATTCGAAGGGCATCTCCACATCCATCTGTTATAGGAGGAGAGTATTTGTTTTTCCCCCTAAATCTGATCTTAAGGCATGAACAAACAAGGATGATCACAACTAGTTTAAAGGTCAATTGTGCACCAGCATGTAAACTTACAAAAGCATAATGTGATACACTTGAAACCTCCGGTGTACACATATCCACTGAAAACAAACACATTCTGTGTCCAGTATTTAAAATTGTGAAAGGAGCAATATTTGCATATTCATACATTTAGATTTTTTTCAATCCGGGGAAAGAAGTTAATAAAAATGTAAGAAATTTTAACAAGGTTATTTAACATTTTTTGGTGTAAAACCTAAATTGACAAGATTATTATTCAAAACATTTTGTGTTTTAAAAAGTGGGACTTTTGATATGGGACAAGCAGAGATTTAAACAAATGTGTGAGGAGTCAAATCATAGCCAATGTGCAATAGTAAATAATGGCAAGGGGGAAAAAGTAACACAAAGCAAATTTATGTTTTGGTGTATTTATTGGTTTATCAATGCAGTGCCAGAAATCATCACTTTCAACACGTCTGCACCAGTTTGAGTTGTTTTTATTTTTTCCTCTTGATAATATTTCACAGAGTTAAATAAATCCATTTCAGTTCCACTTTGAAAGCACATTATCAGTCGGAATGTTGTGCAGTTTTGCTTTTCTTTATTGTCCAAGTTAAAGTGTGCCAATAGTCACCAAAAGAGGGATGTTTAGACACAACAGTGCTGCGAGTGCACCAGTGTTATGGATCAAGGATGAGATACTTGAATGGTGGACATTTCCTACATACAAACCTTATCAAAGAGAAATTAATCACTGGCAATATAAGGCCACAGAAACAATTTCCACATCAAACTGAACATAACAGAGCTGCTGTCAGTTCTCTGCCAATACACTGACCCCAGCTGTATCAACAACACTTTCAATACCATGATGTTTTCTTGGTACATAAACATATATACAGTTGTGTTTACATAGAAAAGCATGCTTTTGCATATCAGAAGGTTGTTTGTTAAACTTTACACTAAATCCAGAACATTTAACAGCATAGTATTGTTTCAACCAGCAGCAATAATTTAGATTAACAAATATAGTCTGAGGAAACAGGCTATTATAATTCACTTTTATTACAGATCTTGTACAGTATTAACATGCCTTATGATGCAGTATTACTATCATCCGCTCTCTGGTTATTTTCAATTTGTGAACACTCCAAAAGACAATTGTCTGAGCTAGTTAGCAAATTAAGAAAAACAACACTAAAATCAGCACTTGCCTTTTGATTCAAAATAAAGAAATACTCCATCCAGAAAAATACAAGAAATACGAGGTAAAATAGACATTACATTTTGTACAACAATAATGCATTTAGAGTTATTTTGTGCAACATGGTACACATTGATACAGTTAACCCAAAAAACACATACAATGTCACACCAGTTAGGGATGACTAAATCAGGATGACAAGCTGTGAGAGTGCTTTTGACGGATATAATGCAGCTGCTTGATTTGAAAAAATAAACATTCAAACCCATGTTAAGCTCTCTAATATTGCTCGGTCACATGCTCGGCTGCATCGCTCTCCACAGGGCAGGCCAATAGCAGCATTTGTTACTAAGTCACAGAGCTGGTACAATGTGCCTGTTTTGTCATCTGTAACAGTTCAGCTATCACACCTCGCTCACACCACACAAAGGTTTTAACCCTTATGGAGCCAGGCAAGTGTACTAAGAACAAATCTGTATTTACAGCAGCGGCCTGCGGTAGTTCACAAGTCTTACAAACCCACGAGCCAGAACTGGGATATCTCCATGCAGTTTGGGTAGTGGTAATATACAGTGATACTGGGGCTTCTTTTTTAACAGCTGCATTAGCAGTAAATGTACATTTCAATAAAGGGAGGTAAATCATATGATGCATTAGAATATAAAAATCAAGAAATAAACTTATGAATGAATAGATAGATAGAATTCTAAATTAATGTAGTTTTAAAAAATTTAATACAAACTGAGCTCTTAAGTACATAATATGGTGACAGTAAAACATCTATATGGACAGGAAGCGGCAACTTTACATTTTTCTGAGTCTGACTATATGATTTTTAGATATGATTGTATTCTGAGATAGTAAGCGTACTCCCACTATACTATTATACCTATTTGTTAGAATTTACATAAAGTATCTGAGAAAAGGCTGCTTTACCATCATGACTCAAAATGTATCACTTTTAGAATAAATTAAAGTTGACAAAGGTCAAAGGTCTTAGATGGCAAAGAATGGTAAATACATATGCCTTTACAGGAAAACTGTACTAGTAAATCCCTATATTTATATATTCACCTTATAGAATATGAGCCATTTAGGTCAAATTTGACACAATTTGTAAATAATTAAAAACGCACTACAGACCCAAACAAAATAAATTAATCAAAGTTTAAAATACTGTAAATAAATAAATAAACCTGGGGGGAAAATGCCATTGAGAGTCACCCCCTGGGAGCTTTTCAGCACTGCCTCTCCATGTAAACACAATGGATCCCCTATAACCACTACCTGGACCTGGCACCCAGGCTCTTCCCCACTTTACTAACCAGACCCTTCACTTTTTGTTCTTCAGCTGATTGGCCAGCCAGTCCAAGCCCTCATAAAGACCGTCACCACTGGTGGCACAGGTGGCCTGGATGTACCAGTTGCGGTGGCGCAGGGAGTGTAGGCCCAGCTTGTCTGTGATCTCTGCAGCGTTCATAGCATTGGGCAGGTCCTGAACAGAATCGCATGGTACAGGATGTCAATCAGGAGGCTTCAGCTGTGTGAGAAATCAGGTGCAAAGAGGTAGGAATAAAGAAAATCACAGGCGGAAGCCTGTACCTGTTTGTTGGCAAAAACAAGAAGAACAGCATCCCGCAGCTCATCTTCAGCCAGCATCCTCATCAGCTCCTCCCGAGCTTCATTCACCCGTTCACGGTCATTGCTGTCCACCACAAAGATCAAACCTGTAGGGAGAGACAAGAGCATGTGGCAGTCTTTATTCATGAGCGCTACTGCTATAATTTCACCCCACTTTTTAACAATATGCTTTAACAGTAATTGTTAAAAACATATTTCTAAACCAAATTTTGTCAGGCTTACACTATGACTAAGACGACAGTGATTTGAAACATTTGGAGGCTGTATGCAAATGATCTCATCTAAAGCATTAGTCAGATATGCCCTCAGGCACTGGGAGCAAACATGTGCTGCAGAATCTGCCTCAGGACTGGAGGCTTCAACATGGCCATCTAGTGCAGCATCTAAGAGGCTGTCGGTCTTCCTCACCCTGGGTGTTCTGGAAGTAGTGCCTCCACAGAGGACGGATCTTGTCCTGGCCACCCACGTCCCACACTGTGAAGCTGATATTCTTGTACTCCACTGTCTCTACATTAAAGCCTGAATTTAAAAACAGATCAAAATTAATTACATAAGCTAGACAATTTCAAAAAGTGGTGCAAACTAACCCAAGCAGTAATGATTTATTTTCTCACATACCGATTGTGGGGATGGTGGTGACGATCTCCCCCAGCTTCAGCTTGTAGAGGATTGTGGTTTTTCCAGCAGCATCCAACCCCACCATGAGAATCCTCATCTCCTTCTTTCCTATCAAGCTCTTCAACAGGTTCCCAAAGATGTTTCCCATAATGACTTGCAGCACTCACCTCAACTGCAACAGAACTGTCACACAAGGAACTGAAAAGACCACTTTCCATACACGGCAACAAAGCAGCCAAAACAAAGCGTGAACCACATTAAGAAAGTCAGAACCACAAACACACACACAAACCCCACAGCAGTTCCTCAAAAGCAACTTTAAACATTACCACCTTGTTCCAATGTGAAGCCACCTCAGAGGAAGGTCAGGAAGGCCAGTAAGGGCACACATCACACCTCAGCAAGCAGCATACCTGACTTACAGACTGTTACTGTACACTTTGACAGCTCACTGGAGAAACCAGCCACCATACTGGCTCAGCTTTCATGTGGTGCCCCGTAACTACTTATTATGTTGTTTGCTAGCAGCTGGATAAATGCCAGTGTAACGATCAATTTAGATTACATTATATGACACAAACCCTTAGCCTGTGAGAATGTATGGTGCACACAGCCTATAGCAGTGAGGTGATCCTTCGTGGTCCTTCAAGGTGTGGGCCCTTTAACTGGTCGGCTCTGCTGCCAACTTGTGCTAACACATTCTACCAGAGGTGCATTTGATATGAACAACAAGGCTATTACAAAATCAGCCAAAAAGAAAAAGATAAAAGCACCCACAGCCTGTTGTGCGGTACATAGACCATCACTCTTTTCTCTGGGAGCCCTTATATTTTACTGCTTGACTATCTCGGTGTTTGTAACGGATGCTGAAACTGACTAGCTCCACATCCATTCATCTGTAGCAGCCTAAACGCACAGCTTATAACCGCTAGCATAGCCCGTTACAGCTGCAGTGGCCGCACATCCATGTAGGCTACATCAATCATAATGCGAGGGGGAAACGGCTAATACTGCAGTCCAAGTGGGGGGACTGTTCGACTGAGCCATATAACCCATTTATAGCGCCATACGATAATTATTTGTTCGCAGTTAACTAATACACTAATAGCTAATGTCTTCAGTATTGAAAGAAATTCTCCGGGTCAATTTGTGTGCTGTAATCCCCTCCTACAGTCACGACAAGCGCACCAGTCGGCCGCTGATGTCGTCGATTAACGGTCGTTCATTTATCAAGAAGCCTTACACGGCGTTAAAACAGCGACAACAACGTCACCTTTAATAGTTGTATACATCTTTGAGCATTTTCACCATTTGCATCTCATTCACACTTACCCGTCAGAGGAAGGTTACCAACTGGATTCAGGCAACGGACTGGATGATAGTCTCGCGATGATCTACGGCCGATGTACAGTTTATTCTCGCGGTAGTTGGATTTTCAAGAACACCTTTCACGTCTCATCTAGGATGACTAGAAGTCCGGGGCACTACTAGAAGGCAACTACAATTTTGAATGTCTCTTAATAAAACATACAAAAATAGTATGAATTTAATCTGCTTTGGTGATATATAAATGCAGTCTATAGTTTTCAAGACATGATTGATATCCTTTCTGAGAAACAGGTTCTGCTTATGCTTAAATGTTATTTTTCTGCTGCCACAGCCAAAACACGGATTATAACAGAGTGTAACAGCAAACATACCTGAATTATTAAAACAGGAATCGTCTTAATGAATAAGTAAATGGTTGACTGTAATAAGATGCCAAGTGATACTTCCTGGCAGCAGTGTGTCACAGATAATGAGGTGACAGGAGGCAAAGAAAAAAGAAAAAGTATTAAGTATTAATATGTTTTTCAAAATGTGATACTATAGCCTACATGTATGTTATTTTACAGGTGACACTAAAAAGGAACCTCCTTTAAAAAAATTTTTTAAAACAAAAAACAAACAAACAAAAAAACACAGTATGGTAAAATGACACCCAAGATCAGCCCCACAGCAATAGGTGATTTCAGCATTTGTCTCCCTCTTCCTCTATTGCTTGTCAGTTAGTGGTGCAGTAATAGACGTGTTTATCAATGCAGTAGAAATAAAGAAGGGAGCAGATGTTTGCAGCTGCAGACCAGATTACGGGGTGGAGTGGCTGGTGAGGAAGCCTGCCGAGTTTGTGTGCACCGGGAGTTTTGAGAAGGTTACAGGAGGGTTACAGTGGGCTCATGTGGTGGCAGGAGAGGTGGAGTGAGGAGTTATGACTTAAAGGAGCCTTTCCTCTGAAGTGTCTGCCAGCGTGCACCCCAGCAAACACAATCACAAGACTCGTTGGTTCTGCTAGCTGAACTAATGAGGGCCTGCGCATTGAGGGCAGGGGCTTTGATGTTCTGGGTCCTTGTGTTTTCTCTCCCGCTCTCCTTCTCTGCCTGCCCCACATCAAAAATGAAAGGGGAGTTGAGAAGCAGATGTTTTGAGGCATGTATTTATACAGAGTACACTTTATTCACCACCTTCACCATACCCTCTTTGTCCTTAGCTCCTGCTGCTCTGCTGTAGCACAGCGAGGATCCATCTCTCTATATCTTTATATCCAACTAAACACACTAAATCGCCTTACTTTATACATATAATCATCCTGTCAATCAAAATGGGCAACTTTTATCTCTGCTAACTTCCTCTCTCTGCCTTCCTCTCTTTAATTTCAGCCCAGTCTGGTTGTCATTATTCGGGGGGCAGTCAATGTGTTGCAATGCATGTGTCTATGTCTGAAGCGATGAGGGGGAGAAGAGGAAAGAGAGAAAAAGCAGAGAGGGAGCGAAAGCGATCCAAGGCTGTCCACCAACCTCTGCCTCACACATGGGAGGAACAGTGACAGGAAATTCCCTTTCGCAGCAGCTTCAGGGTGAAATGATAAAGGAATGAAGAAATGCAAACCAGAAATCCAGTCACTTATCATTCCTTACAGGTTGCCGTTTCCTTTTTATTCCCTCAGTCAATTCAGTCACTGCCAAGGAGGGATATTACCTATGACCATGCAAACAAGTCTTAATTGGCATTAAATGCTATATGGCAGAATAGGTTTTCACAGTAGACTGCAAATGGAGATGGTTTGGATTATCTGAGATATCTCAGAATGCTGTTATCGTAAATCCAGTCAAGTGTTGACATTAGTGATTTGCTAAATCTGCAGTGTAAGTAGATTGCAAATCACTCAGGTCACCAGGGGTTCTGACAATTCCTGTGTGCGCACCAGCACGCATGTTTTTGATTGTACATCAATTCCAGTATTTCTACATGTAAATATCTTTGTACATAAAGGCATGGATATGCTTATGTGCCTTTGTTTATTTTTGTGTAGTCTGTCTCCCAGGTTACAGGGACACATAGTCCCAGCGGCACATGGTTCACCAAGTCCCTTCCTCAGCTATGAACTCTGGACAGATGATCCTCTCAGATGCTCACACAGCAAAGACTGGTACACTCACCCCCACTCTCTGGTCTCATGATGCTTCTCTCAAGTAATAAAAGTCATACTTTAAGGAAACAATATCCTGCAGCCATAAAAAGTCCTTCTCTCAGCATGAAACGGCCATAAAAAAGGCTCTAACCTCCCAAATCTGTAGTGTACACAGCTTAGCACCCATTTACACAGCAACAGAAACACGCACGCATCAGTTCAAGACTAAAGTAGCTCCATCTCTCACTTTGACATGTACTACATGTGGGAAGAATATAAGAAGTGCTCAGACAGATATATATAAAAAAAAATGAAGCACAGAATATCAGGAGGGCAGTCATGATTTCATAGGAAAGTGACACACTTCACAGTTATGCTGAGAAACATTTTACCTGTCGTAACAGTGATATGAATTCATAAAAAAACACGACCACTCATGAACTAATTACTGTTGATGGACTGAAATGACGTATTGTCTTAACTTTCCCATTTTGAGTCTCACAAAAGTCCCGCATGTGCTTTCTGTCTTTTTTGCTTCTGTAACAAAGTCAGTCCTTCAAAAGCCACAAAAGCACAGTCTTCTATCTCAGCTTCTTCTATTAGGAAAAATCCCTGTGTAGAAATATTTTGACATTAACCGCAAAATAAGTATCATCACTCCTGTCTGAGTGATAGGTGGAAAATATACAGCTGGAGTAAATATCTTGGAGATCATTAGAAGAACCTAGTAGCATGTAAGATACACTGCAATGAGACTGGTGTCTAACAGCACCAGTTCAGTCTGCAGCTGTCTGCCATTACCTAGAACCAAGAAGACAGGCTCCAGTATAATAATATTAATACATTTACAAATATACATGTACACATTAAAATACACAGCTATCGTACAATAAGAAGGATCAGTATGTAGATACTGAAATGGAAATGTTTTTATCTTGTTGCTTGTCTTTGTTTTGTGGTTTAAAAAAAAAAAGTGTGGTATAGGTCGTCTTCATGGCTGAGAGGGCAGCGTCTAAACAGACCATGGCAAGACAAATGGCAAGTCACCTCTTCAATCTCTGACTTGGCATTTTGAGAAAAACAGCCGCTACAATGAGAAAATAGATCCCAGATGATGAACCAAAAAAAGAGGGAAAAGAGGGGGATAAACAGATTCTCTGGGAGAGTTGCACAAGGACAAAACAAACACTTGAACAACAGGAGTGCGTGAAGGGACGGGCTTGCCTTTTTTGAGCCCTGGATGGGTAAAGGCAGCCGGGACTGGGAGAACTACAATTTATTTGCACACATTGACCCACTCTGTGAGGCGACACTCCTCGCACAGCACATAGCAACACCAGTGAAATTGACAATTGCAGCGCTCGCTGCGTGTCTGTTTCAGGATGTTGTGTCCACGGCCACAGCACAGCGAGCTGCAACTGTCTGTGCTATAGCTGGTTTTGTTACAGATGCGTCCTTGTGTACCTGGAGAGTCAACAGAGACATCACGCTCACAGAAATCAGGAGACTTCTCAAAATACACCAGCTCTCTGGACATGCTTCGACGACGACCTCCGTTGAGTCCTCTTATGTTCCCGCTGGCACCATTTCCAGCTCGCGGATTGAAAACACCATTATTTTTGTTCTGGGAGTTGACAAAGATGGCTGACAGGAACTTTTCCTTGAGTAGAGAACCCACAAGCCTGAACTCTGGAGACACATGCCAGCAGGTCTTAAACTGACAGCTTCCCGATGTGCCATGACATTTGCACTTCCTCTTCATGTTGTCAATCACTATCTGTGGAGAGAAAGATAAACAATGTAAGCAAAACAGAAACACAATGGTGATATATGTCAGTGCTGAACTGCTCTCTGAGGAACACTATGAATACAGCAGGTAGGCACATTATTCACCTGTCGCCCCACCCGGTTGTTATGTATCTTCATGCGAGCATGGATATCTCTTGGAGACCCACGAGAGTCGAGCCAGTCCCTGGAGAAACGGTCCCCAAACCGGACATCATGACTGCAGCCCCCCCACTCCCAGGTCTCCTTTATTGAGCTCAGCTCATCTGGTAAAGGCTTGAGCAGGGTGGAGGGCAGGTCACCATGATGACCATTTAAGTCTGAGGGTAATAACCGCGTCATGCTGATGTCCACCCCACCCTTCTGCAGGGTCTGCAGCTGCAGCTGTGTGAGTTTCAGCCGGATTTTGTCATCGTCCTGCCGACGCTTGGCCTCACAGCCACATCCCCGCAACTTGCCCATGCTGCAGGCTGAGGCCACAGAATGAGCCACACCCGCTGCCAACAAGGCCAAGGAGAAGGCGCTCTCACGAAAACCTGGGAGCAGAAAACTCACTCAAAAAGTTGAAAATGATAAACAGTGTAGTTCTAAAAATCCCCTCTGTCTGTGCAGAGGAATCTCCACTCTCATAAATACACTACCAGTCAAAAGTTTGGACACATTCTCCCATTGAATTGAACGGGAAACAAACTTAACGAGTGGTAGTGTACACTTCCCCCCCCCATAAAACCCCAGGTTATATTTTAACCATTATTAGCTTGCCTCTCTCTCTCTCTCACCCCTGTTCAGGATGGTGTTGTGGTGGGGCAGTTTGCCAAGGCCTTCCAGTGAGGAGCAGTTCCAGCGCTGGTCACGGAGCTGGTGCTGGCACTCATGGATGGCCACCTGGATGCCTTGGAGAGCGGAGGCTGTCACATCAGGGCTCCGCACACACATCCGCATCTGACGCTTACTGAGGCCTGCCAGCCTCAGGCACACTGAGTTAGGGGTTAGAACTGGATCTCCTGCCACCTTCAGGCTGAGGATATCATTGCAGAGCACCCTGCAGAGAGAGGGAGATGGGGGGAGAGTTGCTGAGGGGGTCATCAGAGCTGGTAAGGACTTTATTAGTCAAGTACACAGCAGTATGTGCCAGTGGGGAAGTGCTTTGGAAAGTTAAGAAAATATGAAAAATACAAAACCAGTAAAGATTTAAGAACATACTACAAACTGTATCTCATCTCTGAGGCGTCTGAGTACGAAAACATTCGTTAATCAGCTACAACTATTTACAACAGTGTTTCTCCTGATGTTATTTAAAACATGTAAAATATAATTCTAAATCAACCAGTCAATGAACAGTCTCAAAAGCAGATTGCCAAATGTATCTTATAGAGAAATAACAGAGTTTACATTGAATTCTTTATTGCATAATTCAGACTTGTCAAAGGCTACAAAATTAGTGAAACACTGATTCCAATGTTTCATCATTTCACTGAATCAGTCTGCGAAATTAAAGGCAGATGTTTCACTTTTTAACTGAATATGTTAAATATTCCTTTAAAATATGAACAGCAGGTTCCCCGGGTCTCTGCGAATCTCATGTAGCCAGAACCCGCACGTAACATCAACTCTCCTGGCGCTCTCAAGTGCACTTACGTTAATGCAGGTGACATAAGTGCCGCTGCCAAAATCAGGAATTGGTCCCAACGGAGTTTTTCTGATAGCTCCATTTCGTTAAGCGTCTTTCGCGACGTGACATGAAAACACTCTAATAAAGCCTTGTACTGAATACGAATATCAAAAAAGAAGAGTGGAGTATTATCGATGCACCCCCAAACGATCGAAGAGTGAAGACGGAGAAGAGAGGAGCTTGGGAAGAGAGTAAATGGGAGG